TTTAAATTAGTCACTCCATCGAATTGGTAACCTTTCTGTTAAAACAAACACATATTGTACAATTTAAATCATTGAATAATAAACATTTTCAATAATTATAATTAATTATTTACATTATTATGTGTTAATTTGATATGTAAAAATTGTTAATAATATTAAAATGTTAAATTAAATTGTCTTTGGATAATATGTAAAATTTCGCTGTGTTAATTTTGCAAGAATATTCAATAAATAATTATATTATGTTAATTATTTTTTTGTAAAATAAATTCAATTATGAGTCTGTTAATTTGACAAGAAAAATCTTAAATATTTTAAAATGATAATTGTTTTTTTGTTAATTAATTGTATTTTTTGTGTGTTAATAATAATAGAAAATATGTTAATAATATTTAAATGTTAATTTTATCTTTTTGTTAATTTAAATTCTGTTATTATTGTGCTAATAAAACATAAAAAATGGATAAATATTTACAAATTGTTAATTTATCAAAAACAATTTGATAAAAATTATTGAATTTTCTGGAATCACAATTCAATATTCCTAATGTCATGTCTATTTGCGTATTTTTAAAAATGGCTTTACCAAAAATGATTTTTTTGCCGCAAAAACAGCCTCTTCAGTTTTTTAAAGTATTTTTTTGAGGCATCATTAAAACAAAAAAAATATTATTATGGCAAAAATTACCAATTATATTGTCTGACCTATTCTACAAACTTTTCAAAAATGATAATTAATGAGAAAGAAATTTTACGAGTAAAAATTTTAATTTCAGATATTAACAACGGAGAGTTTAAACCTTTGAATTTATATAATAATAAAACAATTAAATATAGTTCAAAACATTTTAAACTTAATGACAAAAACAACCATGTGTTTATTCGATACGTACATACAAACAAACAACACAAAATTGTTTAATTAATCATAAACATATTTTTAAAAAAAACGAATATATAAACCTGACTGATTTATTATTAGAAAACAAACAAAACATTTGTGAGAAAGATTATTATAAAACAATAAAATATTTGTTTTTGTGAAACAATAATAATAAAACACAAATGTATTAATTTATTTAGATAATCGGATATAGCTCTCTTTAAATCCTTTGCTAGAAAGGTTAATAACTTCTTGCATTCGAACACCAACAGAATGATACAAGCGATATATTAAATTTGTAATTTTTGTGAAACTAGCTAAAAGACGGTAAATACGTGGATATATTCTTTGGCCGAGACAATTATGGCAATCAATAAAATACAACAGAGCGAATAAACCAAATCAATTTGATTAAAAAGATTGGTAATTTGGTTTTATAGTATGGTTTCAAAAATTATAAATTTATAATAAATAAACCATTTTAATGTTATATCAATCAGAAAATAATATATTGAAATTGAAGTGTTTTCTTGTTTTTTATTCAAAATACCACTTGACATGTTTGCCATATTTTTCCAAGTGCCCATTCTTATTTATTATCAAACTCTTTATTTCATTGGGCAGTATTTAAATCCATTTGTTTCTTCGCTTATAATACACATTAATATTGTGTTGGTGTTGTATGAGAACTTTAAAACCACCGATGAAAATATAAAAAAGGGTAAATTAAAACTATTAAAAAGTGGTGTTAATATATGAAAAAAAAACAATATTAATATTTATAATAATTATTAATAAAAACTACATATATTACTTTTAATTTATTTTAATTACTAAAAATACAATTTAAGTAAAAAATAGAAATACAGTTTAAATTATCAAAGCTATTCCAATTAAAAATAAATTATACACAAAGTTAACACAGTATAATGTGGAGTTTATTTGTAAGTCTTCTATAACACACTCACATTAAATTATTAATGTTTTTTTCATTTCATTGAATACATCACATTCGTTATCAAACTAAATTATTTTCATTTGGGGAACTTTACAAGTTATGCTAATACTCCAAAATATTCGAGATATTTAATACCAACAACATGTTGGTTATTGCTACATTAGACTTTGTGAGTATCAGTATTTAATTCCAAAAATGTTTTCAACCATTGACATTAGCGCAACACTTTGTTTGTCGTTTAATCTACACACTTGAAGAAACATTCTCGAGCCTCAAAATGATTACCAAATTCATTTCAAAAAACTCTTGAAATATTTATAATATTTTGACTATCTGTAAGTCCATTCTATCATCAAAATGAAGTGCCATTTTAAATGGTAACATTGTTATTTAAATATCTCCACACTCATTAATTGACAAATGTTGTGTGTCAGACAATGGCATTGTATCAAAACTTTTATTGATCTCAATGGAATAACTCGATAACATGGAATATTCAAACGGTGTGTTGGTGCCCACAAATACTAACAAAACGTCAACAAGTCAAAAATACAACTTTTTGTATTGTTTCAAATCATCGTGCATTTGAAACATAATATGTACTTGACTTTACTTGACTTGACAATTGTTAACTTGTGTGGACGTTGTTTTGAAGTGATGATGTTGAAGACCATGTAAAAATTTTTCAAATTGTGTAATGCTGTTTATGTATTTTGCTTTGTACGTCTTGTGTACTACAACTTTTGAATATCATAATTCCATTGTTATAATGGAAACTTGTAGAAACTCTAAGATGGAGACTGAATTGATTACTTTGTTGATTTGTTTGTAGATTTTAAATTTTGTTTCTTTTGCATCTTTGATCTCAGTGTCATTGTTTATCACCATCTCATTCTTCATTTGAAAGCGCAAAGAAAATAGTACTCGTTTTAATTATTTTTATACAATTTAAGGGACTTATCATTTTGTTCCACGACTTTTTTCAAAATGTTCTTAAGGTGGTTGTGATACCAATAACATCACGTCGAAGTTGTGGTTAATACAAACTTTGTTTTTTCTTCTAATGATAAGACTTGTGCCATAAAACGGCAACTTGGATCAATTCAATTCCAAGTTAAAGTGATTGCTTAACCAAATGCCCAGAATCCTCTCCAATGTTGTTAGTGAAGAATAATGATGTTTTATTAAGTTCATATGGATTTGACTATGTCACTTGAATTATATTTTACTCATATAGAAAAATACTCTTAGATGCTAATTGCCAATGAAAGTCAATATATATATCTTATAACATGGTAAGCAGACGACTTTAACTAAATACACACAAATATTTATAAAATAAGAACATGTTGATTGTTATTTGTAAGTGTGTGGATATCATAGAATATTCTTTTAAAATATAAAAAGAGAAATGAATACATAAACTACTTCAAACTTTATGTATTAAATGAAACAGTCAGCTATCTTAAGGTGTTTAAGAAGGTTTGTAATTATCTCGCCAATATAGACTAGTTTACAACAACTAAAATAAAAACGTTAAGAAATTTTCCAAAAGTCTATCTTGTAATTACAAATTTGTTATATATTAATTTGACCACTTTAAAAACATATAAGCTCAACTTTTTTAACAAAAATGTTTTGTTTGTTGTATTGTACTACTACTAATAATAATATAAGATCTGTTGTTTGTTTTGTAATAAAACAAATTACATTTTATTTTCAATATAAGTTTTATTCTCCATATTAATATCTCCTTGAAAGATTCATTTAAAGATTTAAAATCACTCATTTGAATATACAAGTATTTTTAAAGTGATAGTTTGTTGAAGATAATTGTACTGATGTCTCGGTATTTTGTATTTTTTAAAATTTAATTTAAATAACTAACTTTAAAACTAAAATTGATTTCATTATAATTTATCAATGTAAATACATAAAGGAATTTTTGGAAACATCATTATCAATCGAGTTGCCAACAAGGTGTTCCAACACAATCAATTGTTCTTGATCAAACATTAACTTTTTGTTTTTTAAGCTTTGGTTGAGTATTTTCAATAGCTTCTGCCATATCAAAAACACTTTGAGTTCACCAATTTATTCTTTAATGGATTTTCAGTATAATTTTATATCTTATTTGTACAGTCATTAATCAAATATAAAACTATCTCGAGTTTTGAAGCATTTACAACATAACAACAGTCAAATTAGCTTTGTTGTAGAACTCTTTAAAAGGTGAAAATTTCCTTGCATAAAGCAACTCCTTAACTTTTTATTGGAAATATTTGATTGCTTAAATTGTCAAGCAATTTTAATAAATTATCTTATTAATTTCTATTTATAGAACACTTGGGGGGTTTTGTCATGGCTGTACAAAATACAGGTTTATTTTCTTTCACTCCCCTTTCAAAATAATTTTCATATCAAAATTATTTAATTAATATCATTAATTGTTTAATTATTATTTATAATTTATTATTTTTTAAATGAGTAATTAATATAAATTAAGTCTATGTAATAAATATGAACAATAAAATACTAAATATTAATTAAAAATTGTAATAAATATCTTTTTGTATTAATTATTTAATTATTTAATTATTTAATTATTTAATTATTTAATTATTTAATTATTTAATTATTTAATTATATTTAAATTACTCTATCATTAAATAGTGTTCTATTTATAGAACATTAAGGGGTCCCTCTCATGGCTGTATAAAATCAAAAGCTATTTTTTACTTAAAAATAAATGAATTAATTTCCACAATTATATTTACTAATGTTTATTTTATTAATTAATATCTAATATTTTTTGACTTTATATCACTTAATTCTATTATATTAACTTTTATTATTAATATCTTTATAATGACGTGCTATATACTCCCCATTTTACACAATCTTACATTTAAGTAATCTCTGTTCCCAGGAGGTGGGTGGGGGAGGGGGACCTGCTTTAGGAGCCTCCTTGTATACTTTGCGATAAATTGAAGAAATTGATTAAATCAATTTCGCTAAATAATTATATTCGATTTTTTCAACTTTTTTAATTTATAATTTAATTAAATTTATTAAAAAAATAATAAATATTAAATAATATGTAACAAGTAAATTAATTTCGATAAACTACTGTATTTGATGGGAAACATTGAATTCCAATTGATGTGACACTTGATGGTATTTTAACACTAGTCAGACTACTGCATTTACAGAAACAATAATCACCAATTGATTTAACACCTGGTGGTATTGTAACACTGATCAAACTACTACATCCACTGAAACAACAATCACCAATTGATGTCACACTCGATGGTATTGTAACACTACCCAAATTACTGCATCCACTGAAACAACCATCACCAATTGATGTCACACTCGATGGTATTGTAACACTACCCAAATTACTGCATCCACTGAAACAACCATCACCAATTGATATTACACTTGATGGTATTATAATACTGATCAAACTACTGCATCCATAAAAACAATAATCACCAATTGATTTCACACTTGATGGTATGTTAACACTACTTAAACTACTGCATTTACTGAAACAACCATAACCAATTGATGTGACACTTGATGGTATGTTGTTACCAAATTTCTTTCTATCATTTTGAGTGTAAATAACATCCTTAAACTCGATGTTTCGATTAATGTTTCTGTCAACAGTTTCAAAGTCAACATTGAACCACACAATGATTCGAAAGAATTCTCTCTTCAAAACACCTTTATTTTCACTATTTTCATTTTTTTCTGTGTTGATCATAAATCCATTGCCAAAATTTTCATCTTTTTCATCCCACAAATGAAGTGTCTCAATGTTTGGGAAGTATCCAAGTGTTTTGGAATTTAATGGAATTGGGTTAAAATGAAACTTCTCCATATTACCACCAAACTTCTTGCACACCAACTCCAAGTTAATAAAGTCGTTGATAGTTTTGAGGTACTTCGAGACTATCATGATGTGATAACCAGTAAGCCCACGCATTTTGATATTCTCAGTTTTTCAGTCTTTAAATAATTATAAAATTCGTCTTTTGTAAACAATTATAATAAATTATAGATTAATGTATAATTCACCATTACAAGTTATGAGATTATTATCGTAAAAATACTTATTGTTTTTACAATTTATTAATTTAAATATTAATACATTATTATAGTACTAAAAAAATCATTTTCAAAACATCACCAAAAATGATAATAATTGTGATTTTTTGTAAAAATATTTCGTTAAAATTGTTATTCTTTATTTGGAGTATTAAATTAGAATAATACTATTCAATAAATAAATAAAAAATTCAAAACAACACAACTTTGTTTTATTAACGAATTAAAACAGTCTATCTGCCATTGATTGTTGAACTTGGTTTTTATAAAACAACTTATGTGGAATGTTTGGGGCAGCAAGAAGTAAAATATTGTTGCTTTGAACTTGCAGTGCAAAGTCATTGCACTTGATATGGGTGCACTGATTGCTGAGGGTAATACAAAAAACTGTTTCTAAAGCGACTTAATGCTGTTTTTAACCTTAGGATGTTTATTTTTTTTCTTTTTTAATTTTTTTTATTTTTTTGTGAAAAAAATTTTCCACCTGCGGAGTATGAAACCGATTTAATTAAATCATTGCCTAAATTCGAAGAAAAAAAAGGAAATTTTCAATTGTTTATTACTTTTCTGAATGTGTATTATACTCGAATCAAACTTCCCCAATAAGTTGCAGTCCAGAGTCGAAAAGAACAGTTACTTTTTTTGCTGGGATTTTAGAATTTCTTGAATCAAGGCTGTCATTACACCCTTAACTTTCCCTGGCCCTGGTTTCAGTTTCTACATCAAATAGCAACACGTCTTTTGTTGCCTTTCAACCATTTTCAGTCAAGATAGCAGCTTGTACATTAGCACCACAAGCAACAGCTTCGTCTGGGTTGATGCTCTTGTTTATTTCTTTTCCATTGAAGTAGTCTTGCAACAACTGCATCACCTTTGGAATATAAGTTGGTATACTAATCAACACAACATCGTCAATGCTTCCTTTGTCCGGGTTGACATCTTCCAAGACAATTTCGACTGACTGTATTGTCGACTTGAAGACTTCGGTGTTCAACTTTTCAAATTGTACATTGCGAACGATATGTATGTTAAAGTTTTGTAATATTTTTAAGTTTTTTTGAGATATAACTTTATTTTTTAAAAAAACAATGATTTAATTAAATCAGTTTCATACTTCTAAGGTTAATTAGGGAGTTTTACTAAAGTCAGTGACTCACTTTAAAGGTCGCCCACTCATTTTAGGCACTGTATACAAAATTTTGTTGTTGAAATTTTGTTGAACTTGTGTTGAACTTTTGTGAAATTACAGGGGTGAATTCTCGGGGGGCGAGTTTTCCTTTTCCCACAACGTTTTGTACAACAAAAAAGTCGACGGAAACACACGATTTACACAACATGATATCGAAGTAGCCTTTGCTGGAATAGAAGCTAAAAAGAACGAAGGAATTGCAGATGTTGTCGTCACCTTTGCAACAGACGAAGGCGGACCAAAAGAGATTGAACTTGCCGAAATCAAAAATGGTAAAGACGTTCCACAAAACAATGAAGAGTTCGCAGTCAAAGAGCCCGAACCAGAAAACAAAGACGAAGACATCGAGAAATTGCAGAAAAAATGGATTAAACTGCCCGACGCTCACATCCCATTGTGGAGATATATTATCTTTACCACCGCAATGTTTTGTTGTGTAGTGTTGTGCATCCTCTCCGTTGTTGGCACCATTCTTGAGCAATTTTCATAATCGTTTGAGTAATCTATTTTATTGTAGTGCAAAGTTCATTTCTATGCAAAAATGGTAAATCTAATATCTTTCTTCAATATCTCATAAAATGTTATTATATTTTTTTCCCATCATATCTAATTTTAGTGTTTTGTTGTTTATAAAACGATATGGCAAACAATACAATTTAGTAAATCATGTAGTTGTACTTATCTACAAAACTGAACAATTAAAATGTGAAAATGTTAACACAAATAGATTTTCACAAACTTCAAAAACAGATATGGATGTTCTGACAATCCTCCTTGCAATTTTTAATGCAGTTTGTGTCTTCTTTGTAGAGATAAAATTTAAATGATGTAAAGGTGTTTAAATTAGCCGTGATTGCTTTCGCAGGATTTTTCGCGACAAAAACTTCTGGATTTACTCCAGAAATCAGAAAAGGCTTTTCAACAATAGTCTTCCACTACTTTTTGACGGCAGTCATCTTTTCCCAAACTGCGACAAGTATGGATACAATAATAACATTGGTTGAATGGTGGTTTCTACCGTTTGCTGGTGTTATTGTATTTGTGATTGCATTTCCGGCCATGTATATCATTGGTAAGTTGTTTAAGCTTGATACAAAGACACGGAGAGTTTTTGTGTATTCCATATCATTTGGAAACACTGTTCGTTCTTAAACATTTTTGTTGTTATTCTAATGGACAGATGTACATCCCTCTTGCACTTGTTGATAGTATCACTTCTGAGACTGATTTGTTTGGAGATAATGGTAAAGAAAAAGGCGGTGCGTATATATGTGCGTATTTGATTGCGACATCTCTTATCTATTGGATATTTGGATACACCTACATCCAGAAAAACCAAGTTGCAACGGACGAAGAAAACAAAAAGCAAATCAAATTGGAGGATGAACTTTTAACAGTTCAACATGAAGACTCCACGAAAGTTGAAAAAAATGAACTAAACACAGACGCCGAGCAAAAAAGTTTGACAAATGAGAAATCTCAAGTGGATACAAAAGAGATACCGCAAACAACACTTCTTGACGAAGAAACGAAATTGTCGATTTTCAAGCGTCACCTGAGCAACTTATATGAGAAGGTAAAACACATGTTCTCAATAGTACATGGCTTGTATCTAAAATACATCCCCGCCTCAGTACGACTCGGTTTGTCCAAATTAGTAAACCCTCCAACACTGGCAACCATTTTTGGGTTGTTCATGGTCATCATCAACCCAGTTCGCGACTTATTCTTTGATGGAGGAAAGTTTGATATTATTGGGCGCACGCTCTCATATATTGGGAGTGCCGCTGTTATATGTGCTCTATTCATTCTTGGTGGCAATTTGTCGAGTGGGCCGCGTGGTGGAAAGATTCGTTGGTATGTCATCATCATTGGGTTGTTTACACGTCTTGTAATTGTCCCCGCGATTTGTATTGGAATAAATTACTTGCTGTGGTACTACAAGTTCATCCCAACAGACAACATGTTCTTTTTTATTGTTTCCATTGAAGCTTGCACCCCTCCTGCACTCAACAGTTCTCTGGTGATGAATATGATATACCCCGACGGAAACGAGGAGTGTGGCTCGCTTCTTTTTTTCGCTTATTTGAGCGCAATCGCCACCTTGTCGGGGTGGATGGCTGTCATCATGTTACTTATCCAAACAAAACCAAATTGATTCATAACATTTGGATTGTGTTTCTATCACTAACTTAATTAATTTTAGTTAAAGACCTGCGAAATACTTGCATGAAGCGAAATACCTGCACGAACCACGTGGCATTATTTTTATAAGAAAAAAATTGAAAAAAAGACAAAATAATTTGTAAAAAGATTAAAATTCTTAGTTTGAAAATTCAAAAACGAATAGTATTGTAATTGACCAATAAAAAAGCAAATTTTAGTGTCGAACCATCTTTTTGAAAATTCGAAGTCGTATTTTTTTCAAAGAAAAGTCCAAACAAATAATGCATCAAACTGTTTTTTGACCAAACATCATTTTGAAATGAAAGATTTTTTTGTTTTTTTTTATAAATAAATAATAAAATTCGAAAGATGTGTATTTTTCGAAGACACATCTTTTTATTTTTTGAAAAATGTGGTTATCATAACTTCGGACTGTGTGGTCGAGAAGTGGTGAATTTTAAGAAAACATTCAACATAAATTTTATAAGCATATTCAATATTCAAACATTTGTATTTAAGCCTCTAAATGCACAAATAAATCAAGATGTGTCATTTCAAAAGACACATCTTTTTATTTTTTTTTTCTATTTTCCTTCTTTTATTTTAAACTTTAACGTTTTTGGCTAAAAAAACAGGATTTTTTTAAATGAATTAAACATTTCAAATCTTAAATAAATTAATTGAAGTTTGGGGCTGTTATTTCGACTGGAAATCGCGGAAAGAAACAGAAGACGTGTTGATGCTTGACATTGCGCTATTGACACTTGACATTGAGACAGTGGGTTGTGTGATGACGACACCACAAAACTCGACGATTACAGCAAAGAAGTCACAAATCTTCTCAACATATGTAGACAACCAACCAGACGTCCTCATCAAAGTCTTTGAAGGTGAGGCATCCATGACATCACACCGCAACCTGCTTGGCAAGTTTGAGTTGTCTGGCATTCCACCCGCACCACGTGATGTCCCCACAATAGTAGTCATATTTGACACAAATACAAATGGGATTCTGAATGTGTCAGCTGAAAACAAGACAACAGGAAAGAAGAACAAGATCACAATCACAAACGACGAGGGAAGATTCTCAAAGGAGCAGATCGACAAGATGGTTGCAGACGCAGAGAAGCTCAAGGCGGAGGACGACAAGATGAAGGAGCTTTTCGAGGCGAAAAATGGACTTGAGAATTTCTGCTACTCGATGAAAAACACACTCAACGAGCAAATTGTAGCAAATCTCACCAGACGACAAGGCAGCAATTATCAAGGAGACACTCGACTGACTCAACAAGAACCAATTGGCATCAAAGGATAAATACACACAGAAACAAAAGAAAGCTGAGGCTAAGGTAGAGCCAATCTTTATAAAGATATCGACAGAATAAAACTGGAACATCAAGGAGTTTACAACAAAAAATCAACGAATAAACAAAGGTTATATTAAAAAATACGTTTTTTTCTGTTTTTATTGCATTTTTTTACAAAATAATTGAACAGAACATAAATTATACTGTTTAATACATTTATGGTTTTTAATTAATTATATTAAATAAACCCTATAATAGTCACATTTGATAATTATTCATTTTAAGAATGAAATATAATCACAAAGAGTAATTGAAGTGTTCTTATGGTGGGTTTGGTTTAAATTGTATTCAAAATGGTAGTAAATTCAATAATTTGTTAATTTAAATAAATATTATTTAAAATGTAATAATTTGTAATAGTAAATATACTAATGATAATTAATATAATTATACTATATAAATACAAACTATAAAAGTAAAATAATTAAATGTTGTTAATAATCAACGTTACTATTAAATTATTATAATTTATTATTACTTATCTATAGCTTTTTTGTTAATAATTAACTATTTTTTTCTTTTATAATGTTAGTATAATATTAGTTTTAATATAATTTCACAAAACAATTGCTGTGAAAAGAAACACAAATAAAAACCATAATAAATAATTAAATTTAATTATGATAATAGATCAGTTTCTTACTTATCAAACATTTTAATAAAAGATGATTTTGTATTCTTATTTACTATAATAATATTAACTGTTATTAAATTTTTAATTATAAGAAGTTTAATTCTTGTTGTTTTTGTTTTATTATTGTCAATATTAATGATCTTAAAATCAAAAATCAATCTGTAAAACCTATAAATTGTTTTCTAATTCATTCTTTTTGACCATTGAAAATTCAATTTTTTTCATAACTTTTCCAAATATTTTTCTTTTAAAATAATTGTTTATTTTCTTTTTTGACCATTTTTTGGAAAAAACTTATTGCCACATAGGCTCGTGCAGGTATTTCGCTTCGTGCAAGTATTTCGCAGGTCTTTAGTTAATTAATTCTATTTACTTCAGATTCATCATAGTATTAATTTTATAATTATCTAATAAAATATTGAAGTAAATTCAATTATTAATAATCTAGTGTGTAATTAATTTCTTAACATACTATTGTGGTTGTTAGAATCAATAGTATTTAAATAGTTGAATAAACAAATATGATCAGAATAATATCCTGTCAAGGCACTGCTTTGCGGAGCTGATAAATCCATAAAACGATCCAGACTCTTGGAGCCACATCGACCTGTTAATGAGCAACTTAAACTGAAGTCCTTGGTTTTGAATTTTCTGTATGATTTCCAAAAAGACGGTACATGTCGCAAAGAATTCCGTTGACATATCACTGATATCTATCGATACCGAAGTGTTAAATTTCTTGGCTAACTGAATAGCACTGTCGACTTTTTGGTCTGAAAGTGAATTAAAGTAATTAAAGTGAATCGCTCTAAGTGGGGGAAACAAAGCCCAGTTGTCATTTCGCGCGTCATAGGTCTCGAACACAGAGGAATCCATCACGTCCATCCCAATGTAATTTTTATAGTTTTGAAATTTCTCATTCAACTTATTGAGTGAAGTTATCGTGTCGTTTGATGCATTTCCAAGACACTCCCCACTCGCTGTTTTTTGGAACAAAAGCCCAAGTCCGCGGCCTCCTCTGCCTTCTTCGTTCGATAAATACTTAACGATGGTCGTCTCCAACACACTAATATCAGAAGAAGTGCTCAGAAAAACAAGGTTGTTCGAATTCATTCTTTCGCCAAATGTTTTCGTTTCGTCAAATTCCATGTCCATATAAAACTCTGGCACCGCGTAGTGTACAGTCTGCCCAGCCATCACCAGGTCGATTGTCCTCACCATCAAATCCCAATTACTCCAAAGTATTGACCGGTTGTTGTCCCATGACGGCAATACATGGGGTATTAGGTACACCATCAAGTCGTATGACTGAGCTGTGAGAGCAAATGCCACAATTAACACAGCAAGCACCATACTTTTTGATTTTAGAAGTTCTTTTTCTTTAGATTCTCATTATTATTTTATTAATAAGTTATATAATAATAATCAGAATCACAAAAATATTACCACATTAATAAATTAATTAATTTATTCAAATAATTATTATTTATAATAATACTCTAATTACTTATTTATAAGAGCAAATAATTGGGCTTTAATTAAAAATGAGTGATTTTATACCATATAATTATTTGTTATTATAAGAATATAGAATTTGTTTTTTATTTTAGAAATAATTTGAATGATATATATATATCATTTATTGGATTTTCCTACATTAATACAATATCTATATGAAAATGTTCTACCAAGATTTTACTAAATGACAACTGAAATGTATTACAATTACGTTATTTTGTTTTATTCAAGACGTCTTTTAGAAATATTGAAATGTCTAAAAGTATTGTACATGTGATTCTTTAAGCAAAATATTGTCGTTTCTCGCTTTGTCACAAGAATAATACACTTATATGTTGAACGTATTAATGGATTTGCCAGAACTGTTTTACTTATTGAGTTTAAAAAATAACAAATTTGTAAAAAATTATTTAAACCAGAGCAACTATAAATAGCGCAAGAAATAGTGCATACATATTTGCAGCGTCTCCAAACCTAATCATTAATACTCCTAATGGTTCCATTTTTATTGTGAAGTCGTAACCATCTCGTTCAATTTTCGAGTCACCCAAAAGTGCTTTTGTTTTTTTCACAAGCACATCGTCAGACACAGTAAACTTGAACCCAGCCATTTCGCTCTTCATGCTGACTATCAGCAAATATGTTGTGTCGCCATCCCTCCACTTTCGTGCTTTCACGTACTTGTCGTATGGCAACTTGTAAGTTGGTGGAGTGTCTATTGATAATATGATGTGTCTCAAGTTGTATATCTCTTTTGAAAACTTCACAACCTGTGGCCACCACTCCTTCAGAAGATTCTTGATTTTTAAACACCTATATTGAACAAACAAAAGTCCTTTGGCGCCACTGACAATTCCCGTCCATGCCATGTTTTTCATTTGTTCGTATGATGGCATTCCTCCACTCCCACCATAGCACGTCCATGGACTGGTCTGTGTCGCGAGCCAATGACCTCTTGCATCCAATGTTTCGTTACGATCATATGCTGCCCAATCTTCTGTGATTTCGATGGCATATGTTGGTATAGGGAATGGATCCGATCCAACCACATCGAATGATGGTCTAGAATAATCAGTGACCCATGGTTCTTTAAGCATTGTGTATATCGGGTGGTTAGGGTCTATTTCTCTGATCTTACGTGTGTACGTCTTAAGAATATCTGCAACATACTTGCACGTTTCTTCATTGATGTACCAATTAAAGATCATGTCATTGTCCTTCTGCGCATTGACAACTCCAGCTAACCAATTTGTGTTATTGGCCAAATTTTGGCTACTGATCGAGCAACTCGCACATGAATTTACACCAGCATGAGTACTAACATCGTTACCGTCTTTGTCTTTACAAGTGATACCATATTCGTTTATCACGTTTTGCATTACTTTGATTCTCCCGTTACTCCATTGCTTGATCTGCTCCAACTTCTCGTCCGTCTGTCTCACATATATAAGTGCAAAATTAAATGGTGCATCATCTTGTAAATATATATTGACATCCTCTTCAAACATGTTGTCAAGAGCTGATCCAATAGGAAAAATAGGCTCACCATTTACGATCATTCGATTGTATTCGTCTATAAACGAATTTCTCTTTGGCTGGTATTCAATTCTATGGAATTCCGTTTTTGCAGTTTGCGAGCTTTTCAAAAACCCATTTTCTAAAGTTGCTTCGACTGTATACCATCCAACTGATAGCTTGGTACAGTCGAGTTCTGTGTGATAATAAATGTCATCACCGTCCCCCTTTTTGATCTGTGTTGTTGTATATTGGACAGTGCCCGTGGCGTCTTTCAATTTCACAGTCATTGTGAAGTCGGATAAACTGAACCTTGTACCTTCTAAGTCGATTTGTGATATCAAATCAACTTTTTCATTTGCAACCTCTTGCCGGTATTTATGTACCTCAATTCGTTTAAGAAAATCAGTGTATGGCTCGACAGTAATGGCATCAAACCAAGCAACCCCTTCCGCATCACCATTTTTTATCACGAGTCTTACTTGGTAGTCATACCCGTCTGGAACGGGGACACTTGTTCCACTATACAATTTCCAGTCTTCAGTGTTTTTTACAAACCCAATATGGTACCCTCCAAACCACTTGGTATGTCCCTTCTCTACCCAACAAAATCCCACCTCTGCACCACCAGTTATTCCACTCGTCTTAATATAAGCCTTCACAGTGTACCTCACTCCTGGGTAGATTTTTCCTGTTAAATTTTGATAAGTCATTGGGGATTTGTCAGCGTCCCAGTCTGTGTATTTGAGAGACTTGGTCCCAGCCTGAAATGTTGAAGTGTCAAGAGACCAAAAAGAAGATGATGTGGAATCGAAAAACCAACCACTTGGATGCGTATTGGAAGATGAATTTGCACTTTCAAAACTTGGGTTTGTCGCTAAATTAACCGCTTTCAAGAGCTGAAACAGACAAAAAACAAAAACCATAAGTTTATCAGTTCCAACTTTTAAGAAAAAAACGAATACTTTATATCTTTCGAACTTTTTTATTTAAAAAAAACGAATTGTTTTTTTGAAAATAAACGTTTGATATTTTGGGTATAATAATCAAAAATTATAATAACATGTTCATGTTATTATAATTTGATTTATTTAATTAAAATAATTTTTAAATTAAACTTATTAATAATTATAGTTTTATTAGTAATTATCAAACTATATTAATTAAATTATTTTTTATTATCATTAATTATAATAAAAATAGTATGTATTATTATAAGATATTATTGATATAAGTACTATTTTTAATACATAATTTCAATAAAATAATACCATTTAATGGTATTTGTTTTTTAAAAAGATCTTATAAAAAAAATCAATGCCAAATTTGACGGACAATATCCTTTCTGTGGTATATCTCATTTTGACACTTGCAGTTTCTGTATTTTCTGTCTGTTCATTTGCTTTTGGGACTAATTTTTGTGTTGTTCTAATCATCGTTATTGTCTTTTTAGCAGCAACATTTTACTTGGTCACGCATTACATCAAGTTCCAAACATGTACATATAAACGCATCACAATGGTAATTCCAAATTTGCCAGACTCCCTTAAAGGGAAAAAGATAGCAATTGCTAGTGATTTTCATATGGACAAGAAACGTTCCTGTATCACGGACCGCCTTTTGGAGGAGTCCGTCAATTTGATGACAAGCATGTCTCCCGATGCAATCTTTTTATTGGGTGATTTCCTTGACAACGAACACACCGCGGTGAGCGACATGTATGCTTCATTTGACAAGCTTTCTGCAATCTGCCCAGTCCTTGGAATCTATGGCAACCACGATTATGTGGGAGGAAATCCTTCACTCCTCAATGACAAGTTCCAGGCGCATGGTGTTACAATTGTTCCCAATGGATATGCAGTAAAACTGTTTAACAAAATTGATGTAGTTGGTATCGACGATTTAGAGCAGGTGACTTACAACCCATCTGTACTTTCCTCTTATTGCCAACACAATCGTGTTAATGATGGAGAGTACAACCCGATTTTTGTGATCACACACAACCCTGAGAGTACAGACCACATCAAGAATTACCCCGTCGATGCCATTTTTGCGGGACACACACATGGTGGTCAGATATGTGTTCCCAGCGGAACACCCCTTCTCAAATTCTGGGCTAAAATACCAAACGCCTTTTGGTGGAGCGACAAAATGCGTGCCCGTATGGAAGCTGTATGTAACATGAAGTATATATATGGCTGGTACTCCGAACAATGCTCGACAAATCCAGACAAGAAGATACAAGTCTTGGTAAGTTCTGGTGTCGGGTCACATATGGGTCTTCGTGCTTGTTGCGAGCCTGAAGTTATTCTTGTTACACTTGCGTGAGTCAATTTATTAAATGCACATTCTTTGCTTCCACCATTTTTTTAACAAACAAAAAAACGCTAAATATCAAATTTGATTATTTCGAGTGTAGACATATGGTTCGTCCTCATCCATAAAAAAGTCCTCCCCTTTCTTCGCCATTGTACTATTCTTTTCTTCTTCCAAAATGGTGTCAGTTTCTTTTGGTTTTTCGTTTTCTGGGGTTCGGCTTTCAATAAAATCTTCAAACGAGTTAAGAGGTTCTTCATGCTTCTCCACTTTAACATTATCCTCCATTGGGGGTTCTTCTTTTGTTGACTCAATCGGGGTTGGCATCTCTCCAAACGAGAAGTCGTTGCCAAATACAGGCTCTTTCATGTCAAATTGAAAGTCTGAACTTCCAAAGTTGAAGTCTTTTGGAAGTGTTTCTTGTTTTGGTGATTCTGCAATTTTTTCTTCCGTCTTTGTTTCTACTTTTTGTTCTTCTTTTTTCGGTTCAAACACCGTTTGTTGTTCAACTATATCTCTTTTTTCTTCTTGTTTTTCAACTTTTGACTCTTCTTGGGGCAGAGGTGATAAAACATCTTTTTGTTGAGTCTGTTGTTTTAGTTGCTCATCAACATTTGGTTGTGGCGAAATCGATTTTTGGTCTTCATGGTGTTCATCACTGTGTTGATTTGAGTCCGTTCCAAAAAAGTCGTCCATTGAACAAAATTGGTCGGTAGGTGCTGTTTTTACTGGTGTGGTGATTTTTTCATTAAAATCAAAGTCGCTTGGCTGCGGTTTGAAATCATCTGCTGTGAATGCGTTGTCAAACCCAGCAAACTCATTTTGTCCGCCACTCGAAAATTCAAATTTCACATCACCACCAAAGTCGTTGAATCCATTTAACGAATTATTTTGTGATTTTGATTCTATTTTCATTTCTTCTTTCTTTTCGACTACTACTTGTGCGACTTCATCGTTATTTGATTTAAAACTGCCACACAAAATACATTTTTCTCCAGACACCGTCAACCCACATGCTTTGCATTTCCATACACTATCCCCACCAAGTGAAATACCACTACCACTACATACTATATTATTCTTTTCACCACATCCACATGGTTTTGTCCCTATCCGTTCTTTCCCACACTTCCAACACACACTCTTAACATTCGTCACTTCAAATTTCTCACCACTCAACTTCTCACACAACTGGATAACCCCCTCCCCACACATTTTTGTTTTTTTAAAATAACTCAACGCATATAATAACGCGCATCTCCGGTGCGGTTTCAATAATGGCAAACTCATTAGTATCTCATTTAACACAATACCACTCTCACTTTCTTTCATTTCATTAAACTCAAGAATCTCACACATGACATAATACGCTCTTATTGTGTTGAGCACCTTCGCGTTTTTGCTCTTAATATTTTCTTCAGCACATTTACGCAAGCCATTTTCCGCATCATCAAGTTTGTTGTTTTCTATCAATCGTATTGCCTTTTTAACGTCTTCTAATCCATCTTTTGTAACAGGAGATGTCTCAGCAATTTTGGTTGCTACCTTCTTAATTTTCTCGCCAAACCCAAACGAAATTGCCTTAACCTTCTTTGCCTCTTTCCGCTCCTTCATTTCTATTTTTATATTTACTTTCTTTCTCTCCTCTTCTTCACAGTCTTCGTCATTCTCGTTATCTTCCTTCTTCTTTTCTCCGCTCGCAATACCATCAAACTCTTTCTCATCACTTTCAAAAAGTGGGTCTTTCTGCCCTCCAAACTCAAATGTCATTGACTCATCTTTTTCTTTCACCTCTGTTTGGGCCTTCTTCTTTTTTTCTTCAATTCCTTTAATTG